TTTAAAGTTGGGCATTTTAAAATGGGGGTCTATGGAAATCGCTCCTTTCTGCAGCCAGTCCCTAGCGGCCCATGTATGAACTGCAGTGTGTGGCACTTCCGTATTGGCGTCCTGGCTGTTCCCCAGAGTTTGCCGCTTGCTTTATACCCAAGAAGGTTTTTTATGTACACAGGACAGTGTTTCCCCTAGGTTTACTGCCTTGGCTGGGTGCTGCTCGGGTACCCCCCCAATAAAATAAAAATAAATGTTATCCTCTGGAGCAGAGAGAGGAGCTGTGGATTATTGTTATTGCTATCGTACAGTAACAAAGTATTTGTACATTAAAAAGTAATAAAGTACAGTGTTGTACTGTATTACTTTTATTCAAACTGTATTCCCTTCTTATCATGTAGCCTACACTTCTTCCTTTCATTGATACATTGAAATCACCTGACTACAGCATATAACATACCAGCTGCAACCCTGTGCTGCTGCTGCTTCTCTCTGCCTCATCCTCTATTGCTGGAGGCAGCTCCACCTCATCTGATCTCTGATATGAAAGCAATCGTGTTATGATCATATTGAGCTATTGGTGTGAGTCTAACATTAAACAAGCAGTCTGCTTGTCATACATTGCTGACGATACATTTTAAGAGGCAATTTGTTGAGTCACTGCCGCTAAATGCTGGTAGCATCAAGCTAGCAAATCCTGCATTAGCCTCACATCAACAGGTGTAGACAGAACATCCAATTACCCTGAGCTAATTTACTGAATAAACCAACTCACATCTCCTGTCTCTTTTTTCACCCAACTCATTAGACTATTCTTCTGCTGGCGTTTCATTGTTGTTTTCTGTCAAATTCAATACTGTAGTTCAAAACCGCGGTACCTGCTCACCAACTGTGAGCTATTTTTAGAATGCGCACGCTACGTTCGTTGTCGCGTTTGCGCGCGTCCACCTGGGCAGGCTGTGTGTGTCCTTCTCCTCCGTGACGATAACGGCTTGAGGTTAAAAAATAATAATAAACACATTTGAAACTGGGGGACACACAAACGGGCAGACAGCAGAGCTCGGGGCAATAATGCAGATTTGTTTGTTTGACTTTTTTACACTTTGTTGTTCTCCTCCTTTCCTCCGCTCTTGTCTCTGATTGTGAGTGTGCGCATTCGTGTGTGTGGGGGGGGAGCTGAGCCCCGCCCTTCAGAAACAAAGCGGAGGGAGAATGTGAATACGCAAAGCAGTGGACACTGAAACATGCATACATTGGATGAATAACATAGGCGTTTAGTTTATTTAATAAAAGAGCACATGTTCAATGTGAAAAGTGACCGTAGATAGATTACTTCACTTGCAATTTGGTGCTATATATATATAATTTTTTTAAATATAAATAAATAAAACACCTTGAATTTCAGGCGGGGCTCCATTGGCAGGGCGCAGCGCCCCGCCAAGACAATGGTAGGGGAAACACTGCAGGATTAAGAGTGGTTGGAGGAACTAAGAGCAGAGGAGATCCTGCAGCAATTTTATTTCCATGATCGCACGTCCCTAATTTGAACATACTGCAATGTACCACAAAATAAATTGGAATGATCGCTCTGTTTATTTAAATGTGAAGGTGCAATACAACTTATCTCTAAAATTATTTAATAATCATGATATATCATCTTGATTTACATATTGATCTAAATAATTGTGATTACCATTTTTGCCATAATGCAGCCCTAAAGCATGGTCAATCATTTAAATAAACATCATTTGTGATAAGGCTTTTCAAATTGATATGGCATGATGTAATACGTTAATGTTTGCAGTGTATTAGGGCTGGGCGATTTGGCCTAAAAATAAAATCGCGATTTTTTTCTAACTAATGGACAATTTTTTATTTAAACCTCGATTTTTTTCTGTTCAAAATGATTTTATTGATTTAAAAAAATGCGTAAAAAGGAGGGTTTCTGCCCCATTACTTCTCTTCTTACTTCTATAAGAATAAAACACGGTGAGGTGTGAAATGTGTTTTAATATCATAAATGTTACGCATACCGTCAGTTTAAATGCTGTTTTATACTGAAAAACTAGAAGTTCTTGTGCACAACCAGTTTTATTCTGAAAATCCTTCATCTCCGGACGGTTAGCATTTAGCATGTGGCTAATATACCATTTACTATAGAGGTGAATTTAGTAGCGATATGACACGGAGTGTTGCACACCGAAACCTACTGATTTCAACACTACAACTATAGACGTGGAGATATTATTATTGCTGAATATTAAATTAAGGTACAGTTTATTTGAATACGTTTGTTTACAGACGTGGGTAGTAGTATGAGACAACATCCGGAACTACCGTAAATGAAACCAGCCGTGAAGTATTTCCTGTATTTTTGGAGTATTGATTACAGCGTTTAAAATGTATTAAATGAAAAGTCATGAAAGAGATAAGGAGGAGAACAGGCGTGTTTAGTTATATATTTAATGTACAATGTCGGAGTCCCTCTGTTATGCTCAACAACGAACATTGGAGACGTGGAGGGCCGGCCCCCCAGCAGCGCCAACCGGCCCACAGCGAGCCAGCGGAGGAGATATATCAGCTGGAGAGGTGGAGCTCGCTCTCTTCCCTTCGCTCACGAGAGCTTTTTTAATTAAAGCACCATTTGAACCTTCTCAGAGACTCCATTTAGTCTCCTTTTAAAGCTTCTCTCCTGGACGCGAGAATAACGAACACAGCATAACAACAGCAGATCGGGCAGAGCTGCAGATCGGGTAGTCACAGGCAATGTGGCTGAGTTTTGGGCGCGTTCTGGAAAGTGAGAGAGTAAGCTACTACGGAGTCCCTTAAAGCAAAAACAAATCTGCTGAGTCTAGAAATGTTTTTAAATCGCGATTTTTCGGTTCAGCCATTTCACAAACCATAGGAAAGTAAAAATGCAAATTAATCGTGAAAACCGAAAAAATCGCCCAGCCCTACAGTGTATCCCACAGAATTTTATTTTATTTGTGGGGGCACAAATAGAATCCCCCCCCCCGGCAAGAAAAGCCAAAGCCCCCTTAACCTATTCGGTTGGCCCACACAAATAAGAAGTTCATGGCTACTGTAGACAACGTTCTTGTTGTTTGTGTTGCGTTGTTAATGAGTGAGACACACTGGAGTTGAGGATCTGTGGGGTTTATTCTGCCAAAAATATAATTTACCAATTACAGGGACATTCTCCCTGGAGTAACTGAGCGCTAAGTGCCTTACTCAAGGGCACACTAGTAGTGGTGTTCCAGGTGGGATTTGAACTCGCAACCTTCCGATCATCAGCCCACCTCACTATCCATTAGACCACCAAAAGACAAATGTAAAAAAATATATATATATATTATTTATATATATTATTATTTTAATTTTTTATGAAATCCATTTGTGGCGGACGATATTTAATTGTGGCGGCCCGCCACAAATAAATAAATGTATGGGAAACACTGGTTTGGAATGTTTTCATCATACAATGATGATGATAATGATGACTAATAATATACTCATGTAATGGCACATTTCCACTGCAGCGGGGTAGCCCCGTTTAAGCGTCCTCGCTCAGGCCTTGGGCTGCCTCGCTAGCCGTCCGAGGCCGTGGCGCATTTCCATTACAGTTTCGGACCTGGGGTAGCAACGCAGTGTAGGCGGGGCGATCGGCTTCACATTTTGAGTTGTTCCGTCGAGCTCCCGCTGGATTGTATCATCCCCAATGAGATGTAGGAATGTCGTCACCTCCTCGGTCGACCACGGTGTGCTTTTCTTTGACGTTGCCATTTTTGTAACTCCTCCGTTTACAAAAATGCTGTGTATAAAAATGCTGCAAGCTTGCTTCTAGATATATATATATATACGCGACGCTAGGGATGATCTCGCGCGCGATCTTGTGACGATTCTCTCTGACCAATCAGCAGTCGAGAGTGTTGACGTCACTAGTTCAGCCCTGGCCCTGGACTGATAGAACCACGATTTTATGGGGCCGGAAAAAGAGGGAAAAAGTACCCGCTAGCCGGTACTAGGCTATATGGAAAGGCCACCAAAAACTGGCCTGGCCGCTTGAGGACGGTTAAGGACGCTTAAACGGGGCTACCCGCTGCAGTGGAAATGCGCCATAAGTAGGGATGGGTATCGTTAAGGTTTTAATGGTACTACTGCTTTTATCGATACTGCTTATCGATCCGGTCTTTTATCGGTTCTTTTGGAGAGAAAAAAAAGGTAAACTAACTAAAATTGTGAACAAAACTAACAATATATTAAGACTGTAAACAGAATAGCTGAAACTTTAACTAAATAAATAACTCAGTTTCCTCTAATCATTAACCCATGTTTGTATAACTGAGTTAACTCCGTGTGTTGCTGCTAGCATACATAACACCTGACGTGGAAACGTTGCTCGTGGACGGAGCTACAGAGCTACTAGAAAGACAGTGGAACCCGGTGCATTCCTCCGTCTGTATGTGGTGCACTTTTGCTAAATCTTTAGACAAATTGCTCGTGTTACCGCCCTTACATGCTAAACTCTTATTGCACTTTAGGTAACGAGCATTGTCCACATGGAGACGGGTAAAGTTTAACCACACGACGGAACGCTTAGTTCTCTCCGCCATCTCCTCCATGTGTGTGTGTTGCTGCATGTAGCAGCTGCGTGTGTGTAAACTGCCCCGCCCCCTCGCAAGCAGGCGGGGGAGAGAGATCTCTCATCTGGATTGGAAAGATCGAAAATATTAAAAATCATAGATGCATTTTGCAGTCTTTTTGCGTATTAGAAACGGAGTTGGTGACACTAAAACTGCAATATAATGTTTGTGTAGCAATAATACATATGATATATATTTTTGACATGTCTCCAGTAGCGATAAAAAGACCGATAACGTCGGAGCTTAACGGTACCACGGTCTTTAATAATTCAGCCCCGGGGCCCGTTTAATACCGGGGCTCGGTACCCATCCCTACATGTAAGATGAAGCCTAGTGTTTGAGATATTTGTGGTGTGTGTGTTGCAGGAGACGTGGTGGGCCTTGCTGCTGTTGTCCTTGTTGCCTGTTGTCAGGCCATTCTATGTTCCAGGAGTCGCACCCCGGGACTTCCAGGACGGTGACACGGTAGATCTTAAGGTAAGACTAAAATCTCTGATCATTATCTCAGGATTTAGGAGAAACATTATGATATGTTTGTTCAGTTGCCTTACATCACACACTTCCTGGGTTAAACACGACTGGGTGTTCCTTTGTATATGTAAGACTTGGCCACTATAGCACACCCTTATATGTGAGACATTTTGTTTGTTCTAGCATGACAGAATGAATTCTATGGAACACGAGTTTAAAATAAGATATACATGCAGAGGCCTTGATACATTGGATAAATGGCCACTATACTGTAGTTTTGCTGAGCTTTCCATATTCATGTATTTGTCCAAAACATGGAAATCAGGTGCATTCACATCTGCACTGTACTTTATTTGGTCCTAACCAACAGATAAAATGATGCTCTGTGTAATATTCCCACTGACTGGTTACCATCAAGCCAGAGGTGGGGACTCGAGTCACATGACTTGACTCGAGTCGCATATTTTTGGACTTGAGACTTGCTTGACTAACATTGATAAAATACTTGACTTGACTTTGACTTGGTATTCATGACTTGAGACTTGACTTAAGCTTGAGACAGATGACTTGAAAGGACTTGACTGTTTAAAATTAAATATTGGCGTTTGTTTTTGTAGTGAGATATTACGTTTAGTTTTTTCGAAAAACGTGATTATAGCGCCATGCGCGCAAACCTGGCAACCCACTAGTAGGCAGGAGTCTCAGTTAACATGGCAGGGGCTAGCTTTACTCCAAAAATAGTGAAGTTTGTATTCAAGGATTATGTTGTAGATGACGGTAATAAGAAGAGAACAGCGGTATGCAGGGTCTGCAGCATAAAGATCAGTGACACGACCACCACAACATCCAACTTCATTCGTCACTACAAAAAAACCCACAGAGAAAGGTGCGTGCATGTGTTGTGTTAGCTAGAAAGCTAACGCTAAGTTTAAGCTACGTTAGACTTGGTTTCAAATCGATTAAGCATTGCAAAGAGAAGACAACGGTAAATGAACACCAGAACCGCCAAGGGATTCATTTGGACTAACCCTGATACTGACGGGCTGTCAGGAGAGAGAGAGAGGAAAAGAGATGCCTCGTTTATTTCCCCTGTGTTATTATCAGAAGTTACAGTAAACTGTTGAATAATGTAGTTCATCTACTTTTAGTAGTTTGTTTAAATGTTTTAATTATGTTGTTTTTGTTTGTAGAAGTGCATCATTCCTTGATTTATCTGTTATGATCATCCACACTCTGCAGCTTTGGGGACAGAGCCTTCTCAGTGGCAGCTCCTAGGCTCTGGAATTCCCTCCCCCAAGATCTCTGTGACTCTGAGTCCCTCACAGTCTTTCAGTCCCGCCTCAAAACACATATTTTCAACTCTGTCTACCCATAAGCCCCCCCCCTCTCAATCAACTTCCTCTTGACTGCCTTTTTAGTTATTTATTATTTATTTTACTATACTTACTTGTTTGCCTGTCCTTGTTTGTCTACCCTCCCTCATACTGTAAAGCGTCTTTGAGTTGTGAAAAGCGCTATATAAATCAAATGCATTATTATGATGATAAACTGAAGCAATTTCTAAATTAACCCAATTAAGTGAGTTTTAAATCGTCCTACTTAGTTTATAAGGAAATTATGAAGAGGAACAAATTAAATGATGTGAAAATGATATCTATGTAGGTGCTGCTGACGCTGTTGGCGGTTCTAGTGTTAACAGACATTTAAATTAAATATGTGTAATGGCAAATGCCATATATGATTTTCTTACCTGGAATTCTGCCTTTTTGAACAGACTTTTTGAGTCCTAGCTATATTGTCTGCAGTTCTAGGGTTAATATGAATCTAATATGATTGTCATCGGTCTAAATTAGATTTCAAATGATTAACTGTGTATGTAATGAAGATCATAGTGTGGGTTAAATCCATTTTCATAACCACTGTCTTTTAACTGATTTAAATTCGGAAACTGGGCTTATTCATCAGAATTTTGTATGACTTGATTTGACTTGCTTGACCTGAGCAATGACTTGACTTGACTTGCTTGACTCATCACAGTGACTTGGGACTTGCTTGATACTAGTAGGTCAAGACTTGAGACTTGCTCATGACTTGCACATGTAGGACTTACTCCCACCTCTGCATCAAGCTAATACAAAACACTGGCCTTACTGATAATGGTTGGAAAGCCCTCACACAAAGTACAGTTTCCAATGTGATTCAAACCAAGGTGTTGTGAGGGTAGTTTTGCATATGACCTTATCTTTGACACAGTCATTCTCCTCATTTGCTTTTCAGGCCGTGAAGCTGACTAGCTCTCGCACCCAGCTTCCCTATGAATACTACTCTCTGCCTTTCTGTAAGCCCGATTCTATCTTCTACAAGGGAGAGAACTTAGGTGAGTTTACTGCTGCTGACAAGTGTGGATCATGCTCTGGGACATTTCCCGACATACTCGCCTCATTTAACCTCAAACTAATTAAGAAAAGCACTCTCATCTTACATGTTGCTGTAATGAAAAATGTGTAAACATGTTGTTGTTTTTGAAAGGTGAGGTATTACGCGGAGACCGTATTGTGAATACCCTCTACAATGTGGATATGAACAAGGACAAGAAATGTGAGATGGTATGCAACGTGAAAAAGCTCAACGTAGAAGAGAGCAAGCTGGTTGCTGAGCGAATCCAGGAGGAGTATTATGTGCACCTGTGAGCATCCCTTCCTATCTGTTACAATAACAATATTGTTACAAGGAGAGTCCCCAACAATGCTAATATTCACCTATTGCCATGATGATTAGAGTGGTGCAGTGATGATGTATTTTTGTAGACCTACTCAGAAGTACAGTGGGGCAAAAAAGTATTTAGTCAGCCACCAATTGTGCAAGTTCTCCCACTTAAAAAGATGAGAGAGGCCTGTAATTTTCATCCTAGGTATACCTCAACTATGAGAGACAAAATGAGAAGAAAAAAATCCAGAAAATCACATTGTCTGATTTTTAAAGAATTTATTTGCAAATTATGGTGGAAAATAAGTATTTGGTCAATAACAAAAGTTCATCTCAATACTTTGTTATATACCTTTGTTGGCAATGACAGAGGTCAAACGTTTTCTGTAAGTATTCACAAGGTTTTCACACACTGTTGCTGGTATTTTGGCCCATTCCTCCATGCAGATCTCCTCTAGAGCAGTGATGTTTTGGGGCTGTCGCTGGGCAACACAGACTTTCAACTCCCTCCAAAGATGTTCTATGGGGTTGAGATCTGGAGACTGGCTAGGCCACTCCAGGACCTTGAAATGCTTCTTACGAAGCCCCTCCTTCGTTGCCCGGGCGGTGTGTTTGGGATCATTGTCATGCTGAAAGACCCAGCCACGTTTCATCTTCAATGCCCTTGCTGATGGAAGGAGGCTGTCACTCAAAATCTCACGATACATGGCCCCATTCATTCTTTCCTTTACACGGATCAGTCGTCCTGGTCCCTTTGCAGAAAAACAGCCCCAAAGCATGATGTTTCCATCCCCATGTTTCACAGTAGGTATGGTGTTCTTTGGATGCAACTCAGCATTATTTCTCCTCCAAACACGTCTAGTTGAGTTTTTACCAAAAAGTTCTATTTTGGTTTCATCTGACCATATGCCATTCTCCCAATCCTCTACTGGATCATCTAAATCAGGGGTGCCCACACTTTTTCTGGCTGGTGAGCTATTTTTGAAATGACCAGCTCACCGAGGTCTACCAACTAAAAATAAAATCCCAAATGGCAAGGGTTGCTGAATAACACGTTTTATTTATACATGGGATAATAGGGCTGCAACAAAGGACTCATTTGATAATCGATTAATCTATCGATTAATGAAACGATTAATCGACTATTCAGACTATTACTGTATGCCTTGCACAATTTCTCAAGCGCTCTTATTTAGCCATCAACTTTTAGATTTAGCTTGAGGTTGTTTTAGGCATGTGGAAACTAACAATGAAGACAATAAAGATGAATACTTGATTCAAAAATACATATATTATTAAATTAACTTAACAAATTGTGAACAAAATTAAAGGTGGGGTAGGTAATTTTGGAGAAACCAGCTCGAGTGCGCTAGAATTTTTACAAATACACAGCCGTAACAAATCTGCCACCTTACAGAGCCCCTCTTCCAACACACACGAACGCGCACATGACCAATGAGGGCACGAGATAAGTTTGTGCACAGGCTGACAGGGCTGACAGGCAGGTAGGCCATCCAGTTACTTTAGCCAGGCCGGCTAAAATGATTGGTCGTGCTTTTTACAGTACTACGACTTCCACAGATGACATTTTTTTATGGATTTTTTTGTCAAAGCACTTAAGATATTCATTGCTATCGGGATGTTAAGAGCATTCCATGGAATATAACAACAAGTGTATCTCGAGCCGGTTTCTCAAACTTACCTACCCCACCTTTAACATTGCTGTTTATTTAAATAAAATAAATAATATTTCACATCAAAAGAAACAACAATGTTTTAACAAATCGTATTAAATAATGTGATGACAGAACTGTAAACAGAATAGCTGAAACTTTAACAAAATAAATAACTCAGTTACCTCTAATCATTAACCCATGTTTGTATAATTGAGTTAACTCCGTGTGTTGCTGCTAGCATTAGTAGCGTGGCGTGGGAAAAAAATTAATGGAAGCCAATAATACGTCCTTTCTTTTGGGTCGGGGGTGTGGTGGTCAATGTAATAACGTAACCAGATGAGTGATTACAGCAGCCAGTATCATTTTACACACATTTGTATCAGATGCAGGACTTACACACGCCTGTTATCTAACCGACAGGTCCGCACGCACTCTCCAGACAAAACTCTAATAAGCATTCATTCACAAACTAAATCAGGAGACCTTTAACGTTTTACGTCCGATTCGTTCCTTTTTTCCTCGCTGTACACAGCTCCAGTTTGGGCATTGGCCTGTCATCAGATTGTATTTTAGATGCTGCTGTAGCGGAAGTTTAGTACAATTACTTTTGATGAAATACTCCAAATCTCCACCCTCCATAATTGCACTTGCTTCAGTTGCTTGCTACTTTCTAACGGCGGTGAGAGTGATGCAGTGGCGCTATCTATCTTCTATCGATTAGATTTATGATTCGAAAATTATAAAAGTAGGGTAGACATGTGGATATTATCCAACTGAACAAAACGTGCATTTATCTAACAGGTTCGTTTTCCACTGACCTTATTTCGAGCTATTTTCCAAAATCCTATGGAGAAATCCCATTGCTTTTTTGTCGAGGGAAACCGAGAGCAGCTTACTTCCGGATTTTAGGACGCGTCACTGCAACACTAAGTTGATGCGATTTGATTGGATTGTGAGGCAAGGGAAGCCAGCCGCCTCTGGCTTCCCTTGGCATGGCCTTGACTAATCACAGGTTGGCAGGGGCATCACGTGAGCCTCATCTGATTGGTCAATCCCTCCATTTTTTTTCACCAAGGGAAGCCAATTTCAGCTGGCCTCCTCTCGCAACAGTGAGTGCAATCTACTGTTTCACCATAACATCTAGAGGGGCACTATTTTTATTATATATTCACTATTTGTAAAATACTCAATGAGAATGGGGGAGAGATGGACCGGCAGCAACACACAACAAAGAATTATCGAAACTAAACAAAGTGTTTTTATTTATTTATTAAAATTATAACTACAATCCGAAAAAACAGGGGAAGCCTGGCTTCCCTTGGCCTCCGGGAGAAAACGCCACTGACTAGCATACATAACACCTGACGTGGAAACGTTACTCGTGGATGGGGGGGCTACAGAGCTACTAGAAAGACAGTCGAACCCGGTGCATTCCTCCGTCTGAATGTGGTGCACTTTGGCTAAATGTTTAGACAAATTGCTCGTGTTACCGCCCTTACATGCTAAACACTCTTGGCAAGGAGCATTGTCCACCTCAAGACGGGTAACATTTAACCACACCTTGGAGCGCTTCTCTCCGCTATCCCCACCGTGTGTTGCTGCCTATGGTTGCTGCATGTAGCAGCCGTGTGTGTAAACTGCCCCGCCCCCTCGCACACAGACGGGGGAGAGAGAGATCTCGTCTCGATTGGAAAGGTAGAAAATACACCGACCATAGACGCATTTGTTTGTCTTTTTGCATGTTAGAAACGAGTTGGCGACACTAAGACTGCGAGATAATGTTTGTGTAGCAATAATACATGACCTTTCTCTTTCTCAACTCGCTACTCGGAGGGAAGTCGCTGTCATATGCCTTGTGAACACTCCGATAATGCCTCTCCACATTACCTTTCTTTGGCAGAGCGACGCTTGCTTTACAAATAAGCAGGGTTCGTACAGGTGCTTGAAATCCTTGAAAATGCTTGAAATTTGACGTGGTGTTTTCAAGGTTGGGAAAGTGCTTGAATTTTGGGAATGGTGCTTGAAATTGAGATAAAGTGCTTGAAAATGTAAATGCTTTACTTTTACAATAAATTGCTGTCTGACTGAATAGTTCGCTTTTTAGATTAAAAGAAAATAATTGCTTCGCTTCTACATAAAACAGCTCCGCTGCACCTTCCCGCGCTATGCGCGCGACCTGCAAGTGTTTGTGTTACGTGTGATAGATGACTGTGTGCCAGGAGGTTGCAGTTTCAACGAGCGTTGGCTAGCAGAAGACAAATACAAGCCATGGCTAAGACGAGGGTCAAGCCCACGAGTAGCCTCCTGCAAAGTTTGCAACAAATAACGATGCGAGAGTCTGCGCTGACGAGCCACATGAAAGGTACGCCGTAGTAGCATTTTAGATTAGGCTAACGTGGCATGTTACGTTTGTTTAAGCTAACGTTAGCTAGCTGAATAGCGAACTCGATTGAGGGATAATAATAATTGCAGGGGACAATCATTTCAGAGGAGCGTACCTATGTTAATATGTGCCTTACAGTCGCCATCCTGTGGTGTTCAGAGGATTAAGCACTCACGGCATTTCGTGTTATAGTCACGAAATATAATCTATTGATTCGACACAGAGCGATTTTGAAAGCAATGTATTTCTACTGGTAGTATGTTTCGTGCCTAAACCAAATCTGACTTGATCTATCGAAATCAGTCACATTGACCCGAAGACACATTTTCGTTTGTATTACTGGTCTGGGGGAAGCTCGCGAGTGGGTTTGTGTATTTTTGCGTTTGTGTACCGGGGAAACACTCACAAGAAACACCGGCTGTTGTTATGCTTGCTGTGAATGAACACAGTCTTCCTTTGAAGATGTATAAGTCAGGTGTCTTGAGTAGTCAAAATTACCTACAAATCATTGTACACATTTGTAAATATTAGTTACCTTTGTGAGTCTATTTTTATGCAGCTCTGCGTGATTTTGTGGCTATAATTCAGGCTAATACGCTACCAGAGGTGGAATAAGTACTCAGATGTTGTACTTGAGTAAAAGTACAAGTACTCAGATCTTGTACTTGAGTAAAAGTAGAAGTACTCAGATCTTGTACTTGAGGAAAAGGAGAAGTACTCAGATCTTGTACTTGAGTAAATGTAGAAGTACTCAGATCTTGTACTTCAGTAAAAGTAGAAGTACCAGAGTGTAGGAATACTCTGTTACAGTAAAAGTCCTGCATTCAAAATGTTACTCAAGTAAAAGTAGAAAAGTATTCTCATCAAAATATAGTGAAAGTAGCTAAGACAGTAAAAGTAGTCCTTGTGCAGATTGGTCCATTTCAGAATAATATATATGATATGTTTTATAATGATTGATCATGAAAGTGTTCTCAAAGCTGGTAAAGGTGCAGCTAGTCTGAATGACTTTGTATACTGCAGGGTAGCTGGTGGATTTACTCCAGGTGGAACTAAAGTCTGATTCAACACTTGATTATATTTCACATCATTCATCCACATCTGTAAAGTAACTAAAGGTATTAAATACATGTAGTGGAGCAAAAGTACACCATTTACCTCTGACTTACAGTATGTTCACTGCCAAACTAAAAGTACCTCAAAAATAGTAATCAATAATGTATTGAAAAGTTATTTGGCTGATTGTTGTATATTGGCTCAGCCAGGTTATATGGGAGGCCCAGTCTACGTACAGATCACTCATTTTGAAATATTACACTTAGTTTTATTTTCTTTAATTTGTCATCCTCGTGTAGAATACTATCACGAAACACACATTTGGTTGTTTATAGCATAAAGAACATCTGATTTAATGTGAGGTAGGGAAATAATCATTTGAGTATAAGTATGTGTATATAAATATGTAATTTACAACAGCTGTAAGATGCTTGAAAAGCTTGAAAATGCACCTCGAAAATGCTTGAAAAGTGCTTGAATTTGACTTTGGAAAAGGTGTAAGAACACTGAAATAAGGCAAATAACCTTTGAATGTGACATCACAACAAAATATTCTTCCTCCCATTCTGGGTGGAAGTGGTATGTTTTTAGCTTTTTGCTCGGTCCCGCACTCATTTTGTTGTTTGTCTCTTTAACTTAATTTGAGTTTTCCCGGCACTTGACTGATTTTGTATCGCTTTGCATTCTGGGTTAACAGACTGGAAAGCGATAGGTCGCTTTTTCTGTCAATCAAGTAAACTCCTGAATTAAGTGGCAGGGAGGCCAAGGGAGGAGGGATCAAAACCTGTTTTGTCTATTTGAACGGCGCTGGATTTTTTTTTTATGAATGACTCACGATCATTGCCCCCGCGGTCGACTGATCTAAATGCTCTCTAGCAAACTTCAGACGGGCCCTGGCGTAGTGTGTTACTGATGGTAGCCTTTGTTACTTTGGTCCCAGCTCTCTGCAGGTCATTGACTAGGTCCCCCCGTGTGGTTCTGGGATTTTTGCTCACCGTTCTTGTGATCATTTTGACCCCACGGGGTGAGATCTTGCGTGGAGCCCCAGATCGAGGGAGATTATCAGTGGTCTTTTATGTCTTCCATTTTCTAATAATTGCTCCCACAGTTGATTTCTTCACACCAAGCTGCTTACCTATTGCAGATTCAGTCTTCCCAGCCTGGTGCAGGTCTACAATTTTGTTTCTGGTGTCCTTTGACAGCTCTTTGGTCTTGGCCATAGTGGAGTTTGGAGTGTGACTGTTTGAGGTTGTGGACAGGTGTCTTTTATACTGATAACTAGTTCAAAAAGGTGCCATTAATACAGTTAACAAGTGGAGGACAGAGGAGGCTCTTAACCAGTTAAGCCCTGAGCCTGTTTTTCAGGTTTCAGGCTCGAAAATGCCACTAACACAACAAATGATATATCTTCACTTCTAAAAGGGGTAAATTAATAATTATTTTTCTCAAAGCAAGGTTACATCTGTGAGTTGGATGTAGAAGTGTCAGAATCAATATAGATGTTTTTATTTTAAAGTAAATTCAGATGGAACATAGTAAAAACATGTAAATTCTAATGTCCACCTAAAAAAAAAAAACTTTACTTATCGTGAAAACCACCCTTGCATGATGGGTTAGTAGACTAAAAGCTTTAGGAATCCAAACTATAACATATAATAAGTACCCTGTATCAAGATTGATGCAAAACAAGTTAAATTTGACCTTTTTAGAGAGGTTTAGAAAAATAAAGTCTAAGCGGACTCACCTCTGGGTAATTTGGGAACCATCGGTTCCATTTGAACTTTTTCACTGTAAAAATCATTTTATTACTTTGAATGATCACTATAGGTATTCATTCCATCCAAATACAACTGTTGTGAAAAAAAATAAATAAAAAAATAATAAAAATAAAACATAGGCCTACTCTTACAGTGAGCCTCTGAATTAGCCCCGAGCGAAAAATGCTAACCTATTACAGCACCGAAAATCACTCCTCGCTCCCTTATTACTTATCCTAGCTGCACCTCCAACACATTGTTTATGATCGCAAGGAGACACAGAATCTAACGGTGCCCACCTGAACAGCCCAACACTGAAAGATACAAACTCGCGACGTTATCAACAAAAACGTACATCAAAACAAATGGCGCTAGCGCTAATGCGCTAGGCTAACAATGACTTACCTTCCTCGTTGTCTGGTCTAAACTGGTCTTCAATGGCATTAAAACGATAAAAACGATGATGTAGTTAATCCATAGATTAATATCCAATGGGGCTGTGTCCCCTTTGAAATGTTCTGATAATCTATAAGCAATAAAACTGCAATTCCGTTATCTGCTGTCCGCTCTGTGCTCCGTGTGCTCTGGGTCCTGCTGCATTTCCTACTTCTTTACGCTGTAAACAATAAATGAAGTGGGCTGCGTAATGTTGGCACGCTGGCTGGCATTCTTTATAATTTGCGCAGGACCATATCTCTGGAACCCATTGGTCGATTCGTGTGATTTACACCTTTTTCTTAACCATCAGAACCAATAGAATCGATGGGCAGTTCCCAAATCTACGTAAACATTACCATAGAGGACGTAATAGAGAAGCAAACTAAGCATATCTGAAAGTGCAAGCCTGGACGGCAATACTTTATACCGAGTATATTGCCATAAATATGATGATTGATTATCAGTAAAAAATTCTACGTGACACAAAGACATTGGATTAACCTTGAGATGCGTTTTTATTCCGTTGAACACAACTTTTGATCACAAATCAAAAAAGGTAAGACGTAATTATTGTAATGTTTTTGAAACCGGATGTTGTTTACTTTCTCTTTTCTGGCTGATATCTCCAGGAATTCGAGGTCGGACAGTGATGACATTACATGTGTGGAATCTGTGGAGTCTCAGCTTTAAATCGTATATCTTGTTTGTGTAGTTAAGATAGTAATAAGGGCATTTCTACCGTGTGTTGTGTGTAAAAAAGCGTTAGCATTAGTTAGCATTTTTTCGCTCAATGCTAATTCAAAGGCTTGGTATTACTCTTGTGTTTTTTTTAGCTAACAATTGTTCTTATTGTCTGTTAGCGGAGTTTCTTACCTTTAAAAGGGTATGAAACATTAATAGTTTCATAAATGTTAAGAAGCCCTGAGACATGTGAGAGAAAAAAAACTGTGGGAGGGTTCCACTGGGGGGACCTTCGGGCTTAACTGGTTAAAGAAGAAGTTACAGGTCTGTGAGAGCCAGACATCTTGTTTGTTTGTAGGTGACCAAATACTTATTTTACCGAGGAATTTACCAATTAATTCATCAAAAATCCTACAATGTGATTTCCTGGATTCTTTCCCCCCATTCTGTCTCTCATAGTTGAAGTGTACCTAGGATGAAAATTACAGGCCTCTCTCATCTTTTTAAGTGGGAGAACTTGCACAATTGGTGGCTGACTAAATACTTTTTTGCCCCACTGTATATAGCATCTCAAGGGATCCCTCAACAAAATCCCTTTATGGAATATTGCAGAAAATAATCTCTGTGGCAAACCAGTGTTTCAAATATTTACACGTTTTGTTTAGCAGGACTAACTAATCTCAGAATGAAGTTGAAACATCTGTTATCATATCTTTGTAATAATGTGATTTTCTGGAAATGAGATATTTTTCAATATGCAAACTAAAAGTGAACATTTCTGTGACTCAGTATTGCAGACAACCTGCCAGTTGCCACCAGGTTAGAGTTTTACCCCAACAGAGAGGCAGCAGGGGAGGAGGAGCAGAAGAAGGATATCCAGTTTGAACACGGATACAGACTGGGCTTTATCGACAACAACAAGGTGTGTGTGTCTGTGATTTATCTACGTTATTTATTTTAATTAACACTTTAAGGTTTCCAGATTGATCACAAGTGTTTGCGCGCCCTAAAATATTTACTAAAATGATCATTCTGTCTGTGTTTTTAAAGTATACTAATTTAGTTGTTCTCTTCTCCCTCACAGTTTTACCTGCACAACCACCTGTCCTTCATCCTGTACTTCCACAGGGAGAAGCTGGAGCAGGGGGATGTTCACAACTACAGGGTGGTGCGCTTTGAGGTTGTACCCCAAAGTGTAAAAGTAGATGGTAGGTTGTGTAATGTTTTCGACCTATGATGATTTAAAACTATAAAGTGGGAGTAAAGGAGATATGGTTACCCTCACTCTGTACTTACCCAGTTTTGTATTTATTCACAGATCTGAAGCCTGTGGAAAAGGACAAGACTTGCACCTTGCCTGAAGCCAGTGGCTCCGCCGCACAGGAGATTGACCCGACCAAGGAGAACGGAGTCCTCTTCACCTACTCCGTCCACTGGGAGGTCAGTGACTGCTCCATGGATTCCCAGGGACTTTAATCATCTGTAACAAGGAGTCAGACTGAAACACTGAAGGGATTTACTATTTAACTTCAAATCTTAGCACTTAAAGAGTCTGCTAGAGTGCTACAAAATCTAAACAATAGAAGGGGTGACTGTCTCAGTGCTCTCGACTAACTTTTTTCCCCATCCTCCCGGAACCGTCCCGAAATACAATCTAAGCCGTCCCGAAATTAATGTGGACCTTCCCGAATTTAAACTGTTAGTTTTTCTACATTATCATTAGTTAAAATCATTCAAAGTGACCTTTAACATAAATAAAACATCATACAAATCATTAGATGATAATTCATCAACCTTTTTACTTGAGTAAATCATTCAATCACATAAACAAAGGCCAAATATATTTAAACAAACACACAAACGAGAAAATTACTCTAATATTGAATCCAATCAAGTCCCATCAAATTAACAAAAAAATCCAACACTGTGTCCTGAAGACAGAACCCAGAGTAACCACTAACCAGGATGACAGTCTGTAACACAGTCAGGAGACCTTTACAAACGGCCCCGCCCCCTCGCACACAGACGGGAGAGAGAGATCTCGTCTGGATTGCAAAGATCGACGCATCATAGACGCATGTTGTAGTCTTATTGCATGTTAGAAACGGAGTTGGTGAAACTAAAACTGCGATATAATGTGTATGTAGCAATAATACATATGACATATATTTTTAAAATGTCTCCAGTACCGATAAAAAGTCCGATAACGTCGGAGCTTAACGTTACCATTGTCTTTAATAATTCCGGCCAGGGGCTCGGTACCCATCCCTACATGGGTACCGAGCCCCGGCAGCATATTGCTAAGGACTAAATACGATGGAGGGTTCTCTTCTCAGCCTTATTACCCATAGGGGATGAAGAGGAGTAAGTAAATAAAGAGGCCGGCGCTCCAGGGTCTGGTTCTGCTGTGCGTTTTTGTGATTAACGGTAAAACATTTCAGAATTCCTCCACGGGATGTCATTGTACATCACTCAACCCGCGAAATACACACACTCAGTACATAGCTAGACCCGCAAATTTGCGGGCCAGGAATTCGGTGTGTGTGTGTGTTTGTATGTGTGTGTGTATTTCGCGGGTTGCTAAATGTTTTGTGTGTTTATGTTGACAATGAGGTTTAATAACCAAACGTGCAGTCGGTTTCATTTTCATCGCCGTTTGTAGTATAGTTAGCAGGGTATTTTTATTTTAACTCGTCCCAAATTCGTCCCTATATTATTTGTTATCCTCCCCGACACTATTTTTTTCGACGACGGGACGTCCTTAAGCTCGAGCCCTGGACTGTCTGTGCGTTTGTTTATCCAACCTGACGCTCTTCACTAAAACAAGATAATTGTTGTAAGAAATAGAGAGCATTCTATTTCTATATAAATACACAATACATTTAAATGCACAACTAAATCATTCTCATCAATATGTATATTCAGTGTACATCAATAATATTGTGCCTCTTTCTTGTAAATGAGGTGACAATGTAATGTACAATGTATGACATGATAGCTTACAGGTGGTAACATTATGCCTATGAAAATAAATTAGAAAAGTTAGGCTATAGCATTAGGAGTTAGAGGAAATGTAAGCTAGTAAAACGTTTAGCTGAATGCTTGGCGCTCTGCCGCTCTTTGAGAGAGCTGCCCCTCAATATCAGAACATCACATTCCAATAAAAACAAATCCAGTTTGTGCCAGAGTGACTATTTATGACTGCACCCTATACAGCAGGGGTCTCAGACTCCATTTACCTGGGGGCCGCTGGAGGTAGAGTCTGGGCAAGTCTGGGCCGCTTCAAGTATTCCACAAAAAATGTATTAAAAAATACAACATTAACAGTTCTTCAACATCGTCTTAACATGAACGGTTCTTCACAACATAACTATTTACAGTTGCTCTTGCCTACTCCTTGCTGGTAGAGACCTGGCAGCGCTTCCTCTCACACAGCTGAGCCACATTTGGTTTGAGGGAGGAAGCAGTTGAAACCCTTAGTATGGCTTGAAGATGTTCATCAGTCTGGACCTGTACTTTGACTTATTGAAGTTCATGGTGGAGAGGAGCTGTTCACACATATGTGCTCCCAAAAAGGCACATGGTCCGCTTGAACATCCTGGAAAGCTCAGGGAAGGAGGGGGGTAATTCTCTCATGAACTGTCCAAGCTTGTCTGCTTTCCCATTCACTTCCCTGAACTTGGCTTTGAGCTCAGAATTGCACTGCAGGTCAATGAGCTCCATTTGAAGCACACCAGGGGCATTTTCCACATCAAAGGAGAAGGGGTCTGCAAACATTTGGAAAGTGGCTCTGTGTGTCTTGAAGTCTGCAAACCGCTGATCAAATTCCTCCTGTAGCTTCACAATGGCATCAACATACTTCTCACCACTGAATGCTGTGCCCTTGTCCATGAGAGCCTTGCATGCTGGGAAATGGCAGAGGTTTTTCTGAGGGAGCAAGGCTTTCCATAACACCAGTTTTGTAGAGAATGCTTTGACATTGTCATATGCTGCACTGACAAGCTGGCCCTGGCCCTGCAACTTCTTATTCAGTGCATTCAGCTCCTGTGTGATGTCAACAAGAAAAGCTAAGTCCATGAGCCATTTGGGATCACTCAGCTCGGGAACAGCCATCCCACCCTTCTCCAGCATGAATACTTTCAGTTCTGTTCTCAACTCAAAAAACCTCTTCAGGACGTGTCCCCTGCTGAGCCAAAGCACCTCTGTGAAGAAGAGCACATCCTATTCTGACTCAATTTCCTCCAAAAAAGCACGGAACTGGCGGTGCTTTAAGCCCCTGGATCTGATATGGTTGATGCATTTCACAACGATAGACATCACATTGTCAAACTTCAAGCATTTGCTGCAAAGGGCCTGCTGATGGATAATGCAGTGCAGAGCAATAGCCTCCTCCACACCCTCCTCCTCCAGTTTTATTTGAACAAGTGCCACCAGCCCATTTTTCCTCCCTGTCATTGATGGCGCTCCGTCGGTCGTAATTCCAACAAACCTCTTCCATGGCAGACCATGGCAGATGCAATGGCATCACACAGTTGCTGGAATATCTCCTGAGCGGTGGTCTGGCCATGCATTGGTTTCACTGTAAGCAACTCCTCTGTCACTTCAAACTTGTCATCAACACCACGGACATACATTGCGAGCTGAGCGGTGTCAGTGATGTCCGTGCTCTCATCAAGAGCCACAGAGTATGCACGGAAAAGTTTGGCTTTGTCGCACAGCTGATCATATATGTCACTTGATAAGTCAGAAATGCGCTGATGTTGTTAAACTGACCCTTCTTTTCCAGACAGACTATACTTGCAGCCTGCAACATGCACTTTTTTATAAACTCGCCTTCCGTAAACGGCTTTCCTGCCTTAGCAATCATCTCACTCACCACATAGCTAGCTTCCACTGCTAAATCAGCCTCATTGCTTCCTTTCTTGAAGAGATTTGGTTGCTTCCATAGAATTTTGTTTTAGCTCTGTGACTCTTTTCTCTCTCTCGTCTCCCAGGTATTTTGCATACTCTGCACTCTGTTTAGTTGAGTAGTGACGTTTGACGTTATACTCCTTGTATACAGCGATTTTCTCTGTGCATATAAGCAGGGCTGCACATAACTGCACGCTGTTGTTATTAGTATCTGGTGCTAGCTGCTCTAACGGATATAAGAAGAAGATGTTTCTACAATAATGTGGAGGGAGAGTCCTCTCCAGTCAGACTGAGAGGCTGATAACTACAGCTCAGTGAGGTAAAGGACTCGGAGTGTTTAGATAGTTCACTTTAGTCTAAGTTGTCTCAGTGGGTCTCAAACGTTTTGATCACAATTTATGTAAACACATATTTCCAAGGCACTCCTTTATAATTATTGGGATAAACAGGTTTGAAATCATTCCAATGTATACTATAGGACAGTAACCAAAAATATCCTTTAAAACTGGAGATAAAAAAAAAAGCATAAATAAATAAATGTTAAGGTAAAATAAGATATGAACAACAAAAATCAAATAAGTTACATTAATTTGTTATTGGCTATGGTAGGTTATTGGTTATGTTCACATACTTATTTGATTACATCCACTTGTCTAAGATGACAACAGAGACTTTCGACCCAAACCCAGCTGTTGACTTGTGGATGCGAGCAGCTAATCGCAGACTCAACCAGAGAGAAAGTAGTAGGCCTACATCATCAGCTACCATGTCTGACAGAGAGGAAGACAGTGAGGAGAACAGTCAGGAGGGTAGTGATGCTTGTAGGATTACTGGTCGTGCTAATGTTGTCTTGTGTTCACCTCTGCATGTGTGTTCTGTGTTCACCTCTGCATGTGTGTTCAGTGCCGTGTGTCTGGCAAATAAAGTCAAGACCCCCTCAAAAGTTACGGTTTATTTCATTTTAAGGATGAGCACCAAGCAACATCTCCAGGTGCTCCTTTGAGAACCAGGGCAAAAAAGTTATGTGCACCCCTGCATATAAGGCACGTTGCGTTTCCCCTGTACTCGACAAAAAAATATTTAGTCTCCCACTTCTCCTGAAATCTTCTGTGGTCATCAGCGACTTTTTTTTTCCCTGAAAGTTTTGATGTAGACATGACTGGGCGATATATTTTCCTTCCACTCTGTGTCACTTTTGGATCACTCTGTGATTGATTCCGCTGCGCGCATTTTATTGACGTGGCGGAGTTCCCTCGGAGGGAGGAGGGGCGAGGGAACTCCGCGCAGCAGTTCCCTGCCAGCAGCGGGATCAATCCAAAAATTAAATAAAAATTTGAAAACGTAAACGCACGGGCCAGATTAACACTATTACATGATATCAACAACGGGGCCATGAGAAACTGTGTCGCGGGCCGCGTCTGGCCCGCGGGCCTGGAGTCTGAGACACCTGCTATACAGTATACCTTTGTTGTTGAGCAATTATGGTTTCAAAGCAACAAGGTCAGATGTCAACATTACAGCATTTTGTCCAGCTGTTTTAGTTTTCTAAGATGATACAGCTTAGAAATAATTAAAGATTAAAAATGATACTACAACATGTAAAGGAAGGAATGCTGAGCCTCTAATGTCCTCTGTGCAGGAGAGTGAGGTGAAGTGGGCGTCTCGATGGGACACATACCTGACCATGAGCGATGTTCAGATCCACTGGTTCTCCATCGTCAACTCTGTGGTGGTCGTCTTCTTCCTGTCTGGTATGTCCAAATTTTGACAGATCCTGCTCAGTGCTACTGTCATTTCTCAAATGGCCTTATAAACACAATAAAGTACTGCAGGTCATTAGAAATCACAAATAGTACATACACATTTTATGTATAAAACTGCCTTTTAATTGGTGAGATTTAAACGCATACCATGAGCCTTGTGCTTTGTTTACAACTTACTCTTGTTAAAGTCATGTCGATCTATATGTATGGCCTCATACTGCAACATTCTCCTAAATGTCTCGTATGCTTTCTGTTAAGAGAAAAAAGTAAGAACAGTCAGCTCCAAATGTGTTCTTACCTGTCCAGTTCTACTGTTACCAAGGTGTGCTGAATAATAAATCCTACATGATCATTAATTGGAGGCATAGTGGTTGATTGTGTATTATCAGCACAGGTACTGCCTAGTGTTCATTTCGTTGACTAAAACTATGACGAAATATGTTCGTCAACGACCTTTTTTTCCATGACGAAAACGAGACGAGACGGCACCAACGGCAGTAAACAATAACTGCAACGAAATCATCATGCAATATCGTTGACGAAAAGTGACGAGACGAAAATGTAGTTTACTAAATAAAAACTATGCCAAAATCTGTCTTTACTTTCGTTGACGAAAAATGAGGAGACGAAATATTATCAAAGATAACGTTACATCTCTGATAGTCAGTTTTTCTCCCAGCAGTTCCATTTCCGGTGCTGCGGCAGGGCAGCAGCTGTGTGTCTGTGCTGCGCGCGGCGGTAGATTTGAATTACACCGGGCAGCGGCACACTGTGAACTGTCAGGAAGACTCGGGTCTAACTCATGGTCTAACTAACCTTATTTAACAAGAAAAAAAATAGCAACAACAGGGCTTGGGAGCAGTGGTCGCACTTGCGTTTACCGAATTACCCCCCCCCCAACACAGCTGGTAAAAACGGCACAAACCTGACCAGATACTCTCTGCAAAGCTTCTTAATCATTCAACCTGTGTTTTTCATCAAATAAGGACAAGATTAGGGATGTCACGATCTCATTTTTTAGCTTCCGATCCGATTCCGATATTTTCATATAGGTTCCGATCCGATCCCGATATTTCCCGATACCGGTTTTCCGATACCGATTTCCGATATCACTTTTTGTGTTGGCAAACAGCATTTAATTTCGTATACATTAAGAAATAGAAAGGCACCCAAATAATTTATTAGACGACAAAAACCGGAGTTTTCCACAAGTGAAATTGGCTGGTCGTCCCCTGCTATGCACTCCACAATCAGCTCAGTAATCTTGCGAAATCTCTCGGAGTCTCGAGGAAGTAAAGCCTTTCGTTTCAAGCTGTCCCGCAGTGTTTGTTGATGGAGTCCATCAGTCGCAGACGCTGTCGCTTTACAGTAGGCGGCGTGTTCGTCGGGGTGGTGCTTTTTAAGATGTTTTATTAGGTTTGTGGTGTTGTAGGAGACCCTATTAGCACCACCTCGTGAGACTTCCACACCACAGACTTTGCATGTCGCAGTCGGCGACTCACTTGTAGTTATTTTAAAATGATGCCAAACTGCAGACATTTTAACTAGCTAACGATATGTGTCCGTTCCACTTTTCCAACTCGATAATGGCGGCTGATGCAATTGAACAACAACGACAAACAACGTAACAATGGAATCATGGGAAATATTAACTATGGATCGGCCATGACATTTAATTGGATCTGCCAATCCCGATCCACCCAGTATCGGGGGCCGATCCGATCCGGGGATCGGGATCGGGACATCTCTAGACAAGATATAATGTTATTTATTTATATATACTAAAATGACAAATTATTGGTTTTGGCTAGACCAGTTTGACTGAAATGTTCTATATAATCTGATGACTAAAAAAGACTCAACAGTTTTCATTGACAAAAAGTAGACTCAAATAATTTGTTTTCTTTGACTAAAATAAGACTAAAATGCTCAGACTTTTAGTCAACTAAATCTTGACTAAAATAGTTACTGTTTTCTTTGACTAAAATAAGACTAAAATGCTCAGACTTTTAGTCGACTAAAACTTGACTAAATAAAAACAGGATGAAGGTGACTAAATATGACTAAAACTAAAAAGGAAATTTAACACAGGACTAAGACTAAAACAAAATAAAAAAATAGCTGACGAAATTAACACTAGCACTGCCTAGGGCTGTGCATCTTCACTGGTCTTACGATTCGATTCGATTCTGGTCCTGTCTTCGATTCAATTCGATATCCCGATGCATCACGATTCATACCAATGCGTTGCATCCTCAATTTTCTATATTACTGCACATGGCTTATTTTTCATCAATGCATACATGCAGTAAATACATATGAACTCTCTTTTTATTATTTAGAAAGTGCTTCAGAAATCAATAACATAAATGTCTTGACATTAATTTATAAACCAAAATAAATGAATTGTATAGGTCTAGCCTCCCTATATCTGTGTGTGTTCCATCCTCAAAAACAAAAAACTAATGCTTCTGCAGTCTAGCTGCAGCTTCTAGCAACGGTCTTCTGTTAAAAAAAGGACACTGAATGTCCTGAATGTGGCATCACTCACAGGACTTGAGTCTGAACACAGCAGACAACAGGAGTATTTACAACAGCATATAACAACTAAAATAGTGCATGTGGGTGCACACTTACATTCTCTGTCTTACTGTTACATAAATCCCATGAATGTATTAGACTAAGTTAGCTTCATTATATCTCAGTGATTAAGTGAATAATAAAGTTTCTATCGGGTCACTATCAGCCTGTCACTCATTATTTTCAGGGAGGGGGCGGGGCTTGGAGGAACGGAGAGGAGACGGTGATCGCGGAAGCTTTTTTCCTCCTGCCTTCACAAACTTTACACACGTATATATCGTCTGAAAATTGCTTGAGGACATTCATACTTTGCAATCCAAGACTTCATTAAATCCACCAAAAACCTGACTTGATTGTAACGCCAGTATTTCTTTAAAACATAAATCCCTGTGTGTCTGAGCCGCAGCGACACGGAGTGATTCAGAGCGGGTCCTTCTGCTGTTGGTTCTGGACTGGTGTTCTTGTGTTGGTGGATAAAGCAGACTGCTCCGTGTTTGGTGTTACTGTGCCGCTGTCACGTCTGTTCCCTGATCTCTGCGTCACCGACCGATTTGATATTAAAGTGACAGAAAAAAAAAACGTTATAGTAAAGCCGCGGCCGGAAAATCAGGAAGCAACGTTACTACGCTATAACCGATTATCTTCCGTCACTGCATCGAGACCGAATCGTCCACGTCCGCATCGCAATGCATCGTACAAACGATTATTTTCAACACCCCATACTGCCCCATAAACACTTTATAAAGGCAGTTGTGTGCTGGGTGCAAATACTCTGGCACATGCCCAATAATGCTTGAGATTCCTTCTAAGAAAAGCTGTATGGGGCACAATTTAATAAAGAAAGCATAACATTGCATACAACGTAATTACTAAAGGACAATCAAAAGACATCTAAGATAAGTCTGTAAGCCTTTCAGAAGCTGAATGCACGCAATATCTTTTAAGGGATCAATGGAACAACATTTATTTAGCCCACAAATCTAATAATACAATCGCTATTATAACAATAAAACACATGTAATATACATTTGATTATATGATTTTTATGCTTTTTTATGTTCCTCAAATTCAAAACTTAGGTTTCCTTGTGTTGGACCAATAATTTGTGGACTGTAAAAAAACAAAGGTTTACTCTTATCTTGTTAAAAGTGCTCTCAACCCCTTGTACTAAAATAAGACAAAATTGTGAATACAAACAAAAATAATTTTAAAAAATCCTGTATGGCCAATTGTCTCATAAGTATATTTATATATATCATATATATTGTCTGATGTTCCCTGCCTTTCACTTTTCAGGTATTCTGAGTATGATCATTATCAGGACTCTGAGGAAGGACATTGCCAACTACAACAGAGAGGATGACATAGTAAGTAAATAGAGTCCTGACAGTTGGCTTGGTTCCAGCAAGTCCTTGGGAAAAGAAAAATGATGCCCCTTTCACACCAACGCAGCTCCCGTTCTAGCTCCGTGCTTGCGCTCTTATGGTTCGGAACCGGTTTTTCTTTTCAGCCCCCGTTTTGTCCACACCGCCCAGAGCCCGAGTGGTGCTGCGTCATTGCGTCATGACGTAACCGTTTACGTGCCTGCTTCATAAAGCCAAACTGTGCGGAAATCCCTCACATAACAACACAAATTATCCCGGTCGTCTTTCTTGAGTTTTTTTAGCCTGTTGCTTATTTGCTCCAGAGTCCGGTGGTATCCAGCGGGGCCAACTCCCGCTGCAGCTGCTGGAAAATAGCTTTAGACCGTGTTGTGCCGTCCAACTTCCTCTGTACCTCTTGCGTTGACCAATGCCTGAGGAGGTCATTTGTCTCTTCAGCGGTCCACTGCTGCTTACATTTACTGGCATCCATCCTGGTTCTTAGTTGTGTGTGTTGCTGAACAGAATTTGCGGCATTTTGTTGTTGTTGATCAGATTAATCTCGCCCCCTCCGACGTAAGCGTGACGTATGTGGTTCTTGCTTCTCGACGGACAATTTTTTCGAGCTTGGTAAGAACCGGTTTTCGGGGAAAAGAGCCGGCTCCGCTGCGGTGTGAACAGGAAAAGCCAGTGCTTATCAGGCTCAAACTCCGAACCGGCCCTGGAACCGCGTTGGTGTGAAAGGGGCATAATAGCGTGGAGTGATTTGATTTGCGTTCTACTGATTTGAGTGGGACCTCTTATTGTTTCTCAGTATATTCCAGGCACTGGAGCCTAATGTTTATGTTTTCTACACAGGAGGACACAATGGAGGAGTCAGGATGGAAGAATGTCCACGGTGATGTCTTCAGGCCCCCTCAGTATCCCATGATCCTCAGCTCTCTGCTGGGCTCAGGAATCCAGCTCTTATGCATGATCCTAATTGTCATCTGTGAGTTTGTTTTCTATATAATCTTTTCCCTGTAGATCTCTTTTTACACCACACAGCTCTTTTCCCATCATTTCATCACATGGTTACATTGGGTCAATGGAATGTTGTCGTGGTGCGAAGGCTCTCATTCATCCTGCAAATATGAAGCAGAAAAATCCCTTTTTTTATACCAAAATCAATGTTATTGTTTCAAACAAACTACAGTTACTGCATGTGTTGACATTAAATGTTGAGTTATTCTCTAAATAATTAGTGATAGTCTCAAATTACTTTTTAGGTGTTTATTATTTATACCTTTGGCAACCATATAAGAAGTGGGCTGTGTCTCAATTCAGATACTTCCCTTAATATACTGATGTAGGGATGTCCCGATCACCTTTTTTTGCTCCCGATCCGATTCCGATCATTTGATTTTGACAATCTGCCGATACAGATTTTTCCCGATCCCATCTTTATGCATTAAGAGAAAAAAAAGGTAACGGATAACGGCTGGTCATCCAACGCGATGAATTCAGCTCTCTTGGCAGTTATTTTTTTGGCCTTTTCACTGTTCTGGGGCAGTTTCTCTTTCCTTTTAAAAGTCTCTGAAAGTGTCGGTTGCTTCAGTGCCGTTACCTGAGTGGCCGCTGTGTACTCGTCGTGTTGTTGTTGTTGTTGATGTTTGTTTCTCAGGTGGCGTGTTAGATTGGTCGTGTTGAACGTAGCTCTGTTCTTTCCACCACGCGGAACCTCCGCCTTGCAAACATTGCATCTGGCTGTTACACTGCCTTCGCTTTCAATTTTATAATACTTCCAAACTGCTGACATTTTCTCTGTCCCGACTCCCGAGTCACCAGCTGAACGTAGCCTCTCGTTAGCTTACTGCTACTATTAGACACTGCGCCCACTCTGTTGCCAGATTTGAGAGAAATAAGCAGGTCTGAAAACAAGCCCAAAAGAAGCAACACATACATGATGTTGTGTAATTTTAAACCAAAACTAAGTCCTCAGGATGACTTTAAGACGTGAGCATGGTCATTTTTGTTTTGTAACATTAAATAAAATAATAAAAATATCTTATAAAAAAAAAAAAATTCCCGATCCCCGATTTTTTTCTCCGGATTCCGATCTTTTGAAAATCACGTGATCGGCTCCGATCCCCGATCACGTGATCGGATCGGGACATCTCTACACTGATGTCGTGCACTGTGAACACTAATGCCATGCATCTCAAATCTCATATGTCTGCTTTGCCCTCAGCGATAGTCGCAATGCCGCTGTTAGTTAGCAAGCTAGCACGGTCATTTGTGGTGCCATATCATTACAGTCTGCTTAATTAACCTTATAAAATTAATGGTGGCTTATTTTTGACACCAGTATAGGGGTATATTACTTAAATAGTGAAAAAACAGGTGTAACTTTTATTTTAATTCTTCTGTTAACCGAAGCAACCCCAATCACAGCTGGATGTTAAGAAGCCAAGATGGCGGTCATTGAGTGTGAGAAGTGAATTTTCTAAGTGTTATTAGAGCACAATACAGGTACTCAGTGCATTTTAACAATTGTGTAGGTACAGAAGTACACAATGTGAGACTCAACATTATTCCTGGCCATCTTCCTGGAGACTTGTCGTCATGGTAAAGTTGCCAGAAAACCACATGAGAAAGAGCTCCAGCTGTGTTACCTTTTGACTTCTAAAAACTGAAATATTCAGATGAATTTGGGTAACACATTGTGACATAGTCAGTGTAATCTTTGACATGTTGTAACCACCATGTGTTTCATGTGTGTCATAGTTGTTGCCATGTTGGGCATGCTGTCCCCTTCCAGTAGAGGAGCCTTGATGACCACTGCTTGCTTCCTCTTCATGTTCATGGGGTAAGGGCCATGTTCAGCTTTCCCATCCCCATAAAGAAAAATCCCAGAAAATGAAAGCTAGTGTGTTTTTAAAAAAAAAGTGTATTTATTTGATTGACTCTGCTTTGGATGTTCCTCCTGCAGTGTGTTTGGGGGCTACTTTGCTGGAAGACTGTACCGCACACTGAAGGGCCATCGGTGGAGGAAAGGAGCCTTTTGTGTAAGCCAATAGTAACCTAACTATATAACCTTTAATGTGTAAATGTGAGGTGTGAACAGAAAGGCTGAGGTTGTGTTTGTTTTGTCTCCCTGCAGACAGCAACTCTGTATCCCGCCGTGGTTTTTGGAATCTGCTTCATTCTCAACTGTTTCATCTGGGGGGAGCACTCTTCTGGGGCAGTGAGTATCATGTCATGATTACTCATAATTACTTTATTGTAAATGCGATGTAACTTAAATAAAAATTCATAAGGAAAAATATTTTTAGTAAATTCTAGAGGTTATTAGGAAAAAGCAATTTACTAAATTCTAGAGTTTATCAGTCAAAATATTTTAGTATATTCTAGAGTTAACTAGCAAAAAGATTTACGTGCATTCTAGAGTTGATTAACAACGACAACAATTCTGTAATTCTAGTAGACAAGAAAAGTGTAAAGAAAGAAAGCATACAGAAACAATGTACATAGAGCCCCTGGGGGACCGTTTTATTCCAAAGTAAACCCATGTAGGTGTGCAGTTGAACTAATGAAAGATTGTCAGATTATCATGGATTGCTGAACCTCTCCCTCGGCCCCCTGCCCCACCAGGTCCCCTTCACCACCATGCTGGCCCTGCTCTGCATGTGGTTCGGTATCTCCATGCCCCTGGTCTACCTGGGATACTACTTCGGCTTCCGCAAGCAGCCTTATGATAACCCCGTGCGCACTAACCAGATCCCCCGGCAGGTGCCCGAGCAGCGCTGGTACATGAACAAGTTTGTAGGGTGAGTCTACAGACATTTACTCATGTTCTTTATTGGAGGCTTTGAACTTTCTCGTAAAAAGCAAAAATGTCTCTTTCCTGTAGAATCCTGATGGCCGGGATCCTGCCCTTTGGTGCCATGTTCATCGAGCTCTTTTTCATCTTCAGTGTGAGTACTACTTCTCATTGTCCTGTAATCACTTCTCTTCCAATGCTGTGCAATAATTGTGTGTGTGTGTGTGTGTGTGTGTGTGTGTGTGTGTGTGTGTGTGTGTGTGTGTGTGTGTGTGTGTGTGTGTGTGTGTGTGTGTGTGTGTGTGTGTGTGTGTGTGTGTGTGGTGTGTGTGTGGTTGTGTGTGTGTAGTGTGTGGTGTGTGTGTGTGTGTGTGTGTGTGTGTGTGTGTGTGTGTGTGTGTGTGTGTGTGTGTGTGTGTGTGTGTGTGTGTGTGTGTGTGTGTGTGTGTGTGTGTGTGTGTGTGTGTGTGTGTGTGTGTGTGTGTGTGTGTGTGTGTGTGTGTGTGTGTGTGTGTGTGTGTGTGTGTGTGTGTGTGTGTGTAGGCCATCTGGGAGAATCAGTTCTATTACCTCTTCGGCTTCCTCTTCCTGGTTTTCATCATCCTGGTGGTGTCCTGCTCTCAGATCAGCATAGTGATGGTTTACTTCCAGCTCTGTGCAGAGGTAAGTTACGTCAGGCTTGGTGTGTGTACTGAACCTTGTGTCTTTTTGGTTGAATGGAAAGTGTTTGATTTAAAAGATTGCCATCGTGGTTTGGTGTAAATGATTTGCAGATATTTTCCAGAGGCAGGACTTTCACTTATTCAACAATGCTTCTAACTCCTACAGGGTTCCCGCTGGGTCTTAAAAAGTCTTACATTTGATAATCAGAATTTAAGGCCTTTCTTAAGTCTTTAAAATGATTTAGAAGGTCTTAAAAAAGTCCACAAAAAAAAAAGGTCCAACTGTATTTGGTTGGACAACATCAAATGTAGTGCTTGGTTGAAACCAGTGGAGGGAACGTGTTTGAAGCCCGCTGCACCTTTTGCAAACAAAATTAGCGTTTGTTTTGCTAATGCAGCGTTAGCTAGTGCAGCAGCTCCCGTAACAACACCGGGGGACCTCCGGGCGACGTTTGGGTCTAAGTCAACCCTAAAAGCGGAGGTGCTGTGGACGCTAAATACCGTAGCTAAACACCAATCATACAACAGCATGAAGACAGCAGAGCTCTGACTTTAGCTCTTGTCACACACACACACACACACACACACACACACACACACACACACACACACACTTTTTGGCTAACACAGTTCTGTGTACTGTTATGTTCAGTCATCGTTCTTATGTTGAACGTGAATCCAATCCAATCCAATCCAACTTTATTTATATAGCACTTTAAAAACCAGAAATCAGAACAAAGTGCTGTACAGAGAGATAAGCTCACACAACATAATATAAATACATTTAAAATACAAGATACAAACACAAAACAAACCAGAATAAACGTAATAATTAAAAAATAAATAACAGCCATATAATAAAAAACAATAGACCACTGAAAGCAAATAAAAGCAACAATCTACTTGTTTCTGAATGCCAAGGAGAAGAGGTGGGTTTTAAGACTTACTTATTGTAAGTCGCTTTGGATAAAAGCGTCAGCTAAATGCAATGTAATGTAATGTAATGTAAGACGAGATTTAAAAGCAGTCAGTGTGGGAGCCTGTCTGATGAGCAAGGGCAGGTCGTTCCACAGTTTAGGGGCGGCAGCAGAGAAAGCACGGTCCCCTCTACGCTTAGACTTTGTTTTTGGCACCCTCAGGAGCAACTGATCAGCTGACCTGAGAGTGCGAGTGGGCGTGTAGCTGTGTAACAGCTCAGAGAGGTAGGGCGGGGCCAGGCCATTGAGGGCTTTAAAAGTAAATAAAAGAGTTTTAAAATGAATCCTCGAATGAACGGGCAGCCAGTGGAGTGAAGATAAAATGGGGGAAATGTGCTCGTATTTGCGTGTGCCAGTTAGTAGCCGTGCTGCTGCATTTTGCACCATCTGCAGGCGAGCAAGGGAGGATGCACTTATCCCCATATATAGTGCATTACAATAATCCAAGCGGGAGGTGAAGAAGGCATGGATTACCGTTTCAAAAAGGTCACTACTTAAAAAAGGCTTTATTTTGGCTAGCTGCCTGAGGTGGAAGAAGCTATTTTTAACAACTGCCTTGATCTGGCTGTCAAGCTTGAGTTCAGGGTCCATCTTTATCCCAAGATTTGTGATGGTAGGCCTGGTGAAGTGGCCCAGGGATCCTAGGTCTATCGGAGTGGTCCGAGGGGCACCAAAAACCATCACTTCGGTTTTGTCATCATTTAATTTAAAAAAGTTGCATGACATCCAGGATTGAATGTCTTCAAGGCAGTTTAACAGCGGTTTAATTGAAAATGAGTCGTTCTTTTTAAGTGGCACATATATTTGGCAATCGTCTGCATAGCAATGGAAAGCGATACCGTGCTTCCTAAGAATGGACCCAAGAGGGAGCAAATAGAGGGAGAACAATAGGGGGCCTAACACTGAGCCCTGTGGAACCCCACAAAGGAGAGGAGCAGACGAGGACTCAGAGTCCCCAAGGCTGATGCAGAAAGTCCTACCAGTCAGATACGACCTAAACCATTCGAGGGCTTTGCCCCTAATGCCCACCCACCCACTGCTCCAAACGAGCTATCAGGATCTCATGGTCCACTGTATCAAAAGCGGCCGTTAGATCAAGGAGTAAAAGGATAATGCATTCACCTGAGTCTGTTGCTAAAAGGATATCATTAAAAACTCTTAAAAGAGCTGATTCCGTGCTGTGCAAGGTTTTAAAACCAGATTGGAAGACCACGAGTACCTTGTGCTCTTCCAGAAAAGCGAGACGTTGACTGTATACAATCTTTTCTAGGATTTTTTGACATAAAAGGTAATTTGGAAATGGGCCTAAAGTTTGCAAGAACTGTGGGATCCAGCCTAGGTTTCTTAATAAGTGGTTGTACAACGGCATGTTTCCAATTTTCCGGAACAACCCCTGTGAGCAGACTGCTGTTAAAAACGTCAAGAACAAAAGGTCCTATAGTGGGGAATACCTCTTTAAAAAATTGAAATCCAGTCCTTTTGAAGTGAAGAACTCCTTAATGACAAAAGTCTTGTTTGTCAATGATCTGGCGTTTATGAGGCCAAACCTGGCAGGAGCCAGTGGGTCCGCGGCGTTTGAGGTCCAGGGAGCCTGACAAATAGACAGCAGGTTATTCAGATTCACCCCGCGCCTGCAGGGACGAGGAGAGCAGGGCCCGCGGCCGGGCTGGAAAGCTTCATCCGGGCCGATGACAGGTACCAACCAGGCATCGACAGGGTCCAGATAGCGACGAAGAAGAGACAGGCGAGGCACGGCGAGGTATTCAGTCCTTGAGATAGGACAAGCTGAAAATTCCTTCATCCTCACCAGTCGACCACTGCGTTTTCCGCGGTGGCGTTTACGGCGGGTAGTTGGAGCCGGGGTGCGGCACAGGTAAGCTGGTACTCCCAATAAGAACGGGTGGAGCGTTTTATGTTCACGATCCGAATTTACAGGATTTAATGCCGAAAAACGAAGATTCAGAAGTGTTTGGCAATCGTATACTAATAGAGAGTTGACATTTAGAGCCAAAAGTGACAAAAACAGCACAAACACACAACACTCGCAGATACGGACGGCAGGCCACACACACTGGCGCCATCTTGAATACATTTACTTTGTAAGTAATTATGGGACGTATTTCTTCTTTCATAACAATTGTCCTTCATACTTTCTTGCCGTGAAATGGGTCTTAAATTCTATTCAAAGTGGTCTTAAAAAGGTCTTCAATTTGAGTTGGTGTAACCTGCAGGAACCCTGTCCTAGCCTTACAGCAAAAAATGACGAGTTAATAAAAACTGTGTCTTGACCTGATTTGTGTAGATCCAAAACGTTTTATATACATATTTTCTGTGTATTCAAAACGCGTATAATGTTTACGTTTTAATAATGGTTAAAGCACAAAAATAAAAACGCATGTTAGGCAAAAAAATTGTTTACACCTGTCTGATGACCAAATCCAGTTTTATTAACATCATTTCAATACCGGATTAATCATTAGTAAATAAGTGATTGACAAACAATAAAGGCATTAGTTACAACTTAACAAACAATGAGAGAGTGGAATGTGTACGTGGAAGCAGCTGCTGTTCTGAATCTGCATCCTCAGCGCTTCTGTTTTTGCTCTCCATCAGGACTACAGGTGGTGGTGGAGAACGTTCCTGGTTTCAGGAGGATCAGCGTTCTACGTCCTCATTTACGCCGTCTTCTACTTCATCAACAAGGTAAAACATGTCAGATAACAACACCTTCTGTGATTGTCAATGTTTTTGTTCATTCATTGTGCCAACTAAAAAGATACAATTATGAATATCCTGCAGGATGTGAGCAAATGTGAATTACACACAACTCAAAATCTCATGCAGACAACTTATTCTATGTCTGGATTAATAATGTTTTTGATGTATAGAAAATATTATCACTGTGATTTGTGTTTTTGCCACATAAAAAAGAGGAAAAACACATTTGGTGTGGAGGTGTTTTTGCTTTTAATATAAGAAAGAAATTATAACCCATCCATCTGTTGACCCCGCTCACTTTCAAATGTTTAAAATATCACATGAGCAATGTGGCTCTGAAAATATTCTGTCAGAAAAAGCTGAAACAAACATTACATAAAGGAGACCCATATCTGAACCGGGGAACTAAGAGTCAGAATGTCTTAGCTTGTACTGATCCTTTGAATGCGCCAAACAGCTGTGTCCTAAGGGATTTAAATGTCAGGTTTCCAAGAGCTGCAACGAGCCGTTTAGTGGAGAGAGTGAATACACGTAGTTTACAGAGATGCTGTATGCGAAACCAATGTGAGTTTGGAAAACTGCACAGTATAAATCTATTGTAGTAGACCTCAACAATGGAATTATGATCAGTGGAAATGGCCATGACATGTGACCTTTAACAAGATTTTAAAAAGGGGAAATAAATCAGTAACTCTCTCTTGGCATTTTCTGCCAATTTTCATAAAGAATTACTCTTTAGTCTAGTTTCCAGCACTCTGAACCCTGAAATGTTGAGTAAGTCTCATGTTTGCACAATTAACATAAATAGCGTTAATTAGCAATACATTGCATATAGTTTTAAAAAGGTCTTTGCAGATTTGGACAACATTGGAGTGGTTTTGGTCATCAAAATCAGCACTGCGGTGCGGGAGAACAAATATGGCCACTTTGTGGTTAAAACTGCCATCTTGGATCCTGAAGATGTAAAAATAGATTCAGCATCATCAATTAACTCCAAAACCACTTCAACATTGTCCAAATCAACCAAGCCATGTTTTAACTATTGTCCACAGGCTATAATGTTAATTAATGCAACTTATACTAATTGTGCAAATTGCCCAACATATGCAGATTAGGGTCCGGCAGATTCTCTGTGCTGGGGTCCCTACTATACATTTCTAACATAAAACTTTAGGGTATTCAACATTTCCGAGTTTACAATAGTACTCTAATGGCGCATTTCCACTACACGGCCTCGCTCGGTATGGCTAGGCCTCGTTAGGCCTTGTTAGGACTGGCTCACTTTATGGCGCATTTCTATTACAGTTTAGTAGCTGGGGCAGTAACTATAGTAACGTAGTGTAGGTGGAGCCGTGACTTCCTCTTCAATGCGAAACACAAAACCAACATCAGCCGTTAGCTGTTAGCTCAGAGCTCACATATCTGTTCAGAAACTAGACAAAAGTTAAACAAGTACAAACCACAGACTGTCTGTGTCATGGAGAATACAGTCGCTGGTTTATTTATGTCTGTATAGGCCGTTGTTGTGAGTGTGGACGGTCGGAACATATATAACGTTAGCTTAGCCAAGCTCCATTCAGAAAACAAGCATTCTAAAAGGTTTTTCGCCTGCCGTCTGTCTGCAGACTTGTCAAAGCATTAATTCATGGTTTTTACTAACCGGTATCAGTATCTTGTTACTTCGGCATCATTTAGAAACGTGTATTACAATTAAATCACGGTAAAATATGTTCATCTTGTTGTAGTTGTAGCCCCCTTGCCAGCGATTCTCTCTCTAGTTTAACATACTCAGCCCGACTCAGCCTGGTTGTTGGCCCGGAAAGAACCTCGATTTTATGGGGCCAGAAAATCTGGAAGTAGTACCCGCTAGCCGGTACTAGGCTAAGTGGAAACGCAACCAAAAACGGGCCCCGCACTGCTCAGCACGCTTAAAGCGAGCTCCGCGCTGTAGTGGAAATGCGCCATAAGAGCTGGCACACAGAATAGTAAGGATGTGTTGGTTATCCAACATTGCACCTTCATGGAAGTGAATAGCAAAATATATGGAATGACCCACATGTTGAGCCTGCTTCCTCTTTTATTTGCTCTGCAGCTGGACATTGTGGAGTTCATCCCCTCTCTCCTGTACTTCGGCTACACAGCCCTGATGGTGCTGTCCTTCTGGCTGCTAACAGGCACCATCGGCTTCTACGCAGCCTACATGTTCATCAGGAAAATCTATGCCGCGGTCAAGATCGACTGAGGGTGGCTGTCGCTGCTGCTCTCGTTGTTTTCAGTTTTTGTTTTTTCGTCACATTCAGTTTTTTAATGTATATATTTTTTATTCTTCATGTACAGCAAGCGCTGACTTGTGTGTAGAGGGAGCGAGACAGGTGATCTTTGAGGCGCTGGCCTCATGGGGAACAACAGTCAGGTGGTAAACCAGCTGTGTCTCTCTCTCGCTCTCTCAAGCTTCTACATCCCCCCCCCTCTTTCACCAGGACCGAGACTCATGAATCCTCTGATGGGACACTTCATGTCTCCACCTTGCACACAACACAGTGGGCCAAAGCTTGTCAAACAATGGTTTCTGCACATTTGTCTTTTTATTTGTCGAGTCTAACTTATCGTAGTTTTTATTTTTGTCATCACAGGATTTATCTTTTCTTTTCAATCATCTTCTGCCAGGTTATTGCTCTGATTTCCTTCCATAAATTCTATCTTTTCTCTTTCCATTGTCTCTGTTTCCAAATACTTTCCTCTCAGAGACTCTGGGGATCAGGGAAGGATTGTGGAGTCTAACTGTGGTTATACTGTTGACTTTCTTGTGTCGTAAGGATGCGGATGGAAATTATGCTGGGATTAATACATTGTAACACAAGAAAGGATACATTAAATGTTCTATTATGTTTACCCCAGTTTCCATGTCCTGGTGTGACCATGTTAACCACATCTGAAATCTAGATATTCGCCTCTCATTCCAAAAACAATGAGTCTCTTATAAATGTCGACTTATTGGTCCATTTGCTCTAAATGATGCAGAACAACTCAGAATGGGACTGTGAACCCGATGCCCTGAAGCGGTGGACTGCTGGGTGAAGCCACTGGAGATGGAGGAAAGGAAAAAAGATGCAGTCAACACGAAAATGACAAGGACGTTTTGCATTTGGAAATCTACAATGCAAAATAGTTTGAAGCTTCCCCGGTAGAAACGTCCAGAAAAAGCTGTGCCGTGTGTAGCCTTAGCAGAGCCTGCTGAACTATGCAGTAATGGAAAGAAAACTGTTTGTGATGGTTGTTTTTAAGGACCATTTTAGTTGAATCTCATTTCTTTAAGTTCAATTATGATATATGAAACATTTCTGTGTGTAATGTGACAGCCAGCTGGATCATATCCTTGTTTCAGAAAACATTTCACATTGCTGGAGTGTCCTGTGTTGCAGGGCATTGACATGTTCTTAATAGATCCGTATATTAATAATGTATTCTTAAGTTACAGCTCACATTTTTTTACTTCTTTAGAAAATACATTTTTTTGGGGTAACAAATGTTTTATTTTCTTTGTTTTGCCAGATTTTCCAGCTAAAAGCCTTAAAATAGCATTTAGAGCATGGATGGAACATGAGTTAAGACTTGAGGTTTGACAAGCAACTCGAGCTAAGGGCGTCCCGGGGACAACAAATGTGTTTTATTGTAGCTTAATTACACTAAATATCACCTTGCATAATAATAATAATAATAGTCATATTGTTAAAGGATCACATTATTGATACCCCTCATAATGTTATGTTAAACATGAAGCTACAACCATCAGGTTTAACTGCTAAAGGGTTCCAATGTCCTGTATGGAGATGCTACGCTAACTAGCTGCTGGCAGGTAGCTTCATATATTCTTCCAACAGTCGCACGGCATTTTGTGTTATAGTCACAAAATGAATCTATTGATTCGTGTTCACCAACACGCTTTCGCAATTTTTTTCCTGTCGCACAGAACGATTTTAAAAGCAATAATAATAACATAATAATAATAATAATAAATTGGAAGGAAAAACACATTAAAAAAAATACAGATTTCAGTATTCTGACACAGAACGATTTTTAAAGCAATTTAAATAACAAATTAGAAGGAAAAAAAGATGACAAAAAATACAGATTTCAGTAATCTGAGGCTCTTTGCCCCATTTTCTTTCCTCGCGGGCGGCAAAAAAACTCCGACATTATACAATTAAAAAATAAAAGGGTTAGGGTAAGATATTGAGTAAGGAAATGTTTTTATGAACCACACAGCTTCTAGTATTCCAAGACCCGACCGGAGAAAAAGACGTGCTGCAGGCACGAAACATACTACCAATAGAAATACATTGCTTTTAAAGTCGTTCTGTTTGACACGAAAAAAATGCGAAAATCATGTTGGTGAACACGAATCAATAGATTAAATTAATTTCGTGACTATATCACGAAATGCCGTGAGACTGGGTTGATTCTTTACATACCACAGCAAGAAAGAGAATAAGTGTTTCATTTCCTTTTAACTTAACATAGGCACATCTACATGGTTATTTCTAACCCTTGCATATATCTCCAGCACAGGACGTGATCCTTCTCTGCTGAGGGGCCAGAATTTAAATCCTGAGAAAATATTCTAAAGGCCAATTTTAATCACAAGCTCCTAAACAAAAAGCCATTCAATGATCAACCCCCTACGGCTGGCAGGGCACTATGATCCCTTCAGGTACATATTTATTGTAGTCTTTATGGTTACCATGAAACTGGCTTTAGTAAATAATTGAATTAGGGAAGTAGCCTGGATCAACCCTCTTTCTCCAGGAGCAACAGAGTAAAATGACGCCTCCTCCTCATACAGTAGCCAAAACGTTTGTATGATAAGAGTGAGACGAGCCAAAATGAAGTTCCCCTTCAGTAAAGTGTGGGTTCCTCAGTCCATCAGACACAGACAGCATCTCTTACTGGTGTGTTTGCCAGCTCAGAATCTTATTGTGAACCAGGAAATGTTGAGTACACCAAAGTATTATATTAGAAATGTATAATATGGGACCCCAGCACATAGAAACTTCTGGATGCTAACCTGCATATGTTGGGCAATTTACACGATTAGCATATGTTGTATCAAATCAAGTTTTATTTATATAGCACATTTATAAACGATTTTTGGTCGAGCCAAAGTGCTGTACATATAATAAAAATAGCCTACAGTAGAGACACTTTACAGCAAATACAACAGCACAGATTGTTCAGAATATCAGTATGAGAAAAACGACACCCTCTATCCTTAGAGTTGAGTTATATTGTATTAATTAGCATTTATTATGCAGACGGTAGCGAAAAAATGGCTTGGCTGATTTGGACAATTTTAGAGTGGTTTTGGGGGTTATATAGGATGCTGAATCAGTATCAGAAATTGCCATTTTAACCAGAAAATGTCAATATTTGTATTCCTAATTTTGGGTCGATTTGGAAGATTTAGGGGACTCTGGATTATTTGGATTGTTCATTTATTTAGAAAGCACATTTTCGACAATAGGGAGAATCATTTTCATCTTGTGCTCTATATCCAATAGTTGCAAACTACTCGTGGTAGTCAAAATCAGCCTACAGAGAGAAAGAATATGGCCACTATCTGGCTAAAACTGCCATTTTTTTATCCTGAAAATGTCAGAAATGGATACAGAACCCCAAAATACTACACAATTGTCCAAATAGGCCAAGCCAATTTTCAACTATTGTCCACATGGCTATAATGGTAATTCATGCTCATTAATGAAACGTATTATAATAGTGCAAATTGCGCTACATATGCAAGTGAGCATCCGGCAGATTCTATGTGCTGGGGACCCTACTATACATTTCTAACATAAAACGTTGGGGTACTCGACATTTCTGTGTTCACTAAGCTGGGAAGTAGAGTATGGTGTAGCGCCCTGTGTGAACGCTCACAGAGTCACTGTGGCCTCTCTCCTGAAGGCTGACGGCCTCTCCTGCTGCTGGAGTGCACACGCAAGGGGAGATTTTTTTGACACAGACTTTTAAAAGACCCCGGGTCATGCCTGCGTACGTGTGATCAAGGGGTTTACAATGTAAATAAAAGAAAAACAGCTTTGTATTTGTTGCGTTTCGCTGTTTGTGGCGCTCTCTGTAACGATCCTGTCATGGTTTTAGCCAGAAGCATGACGCTCATGATGAAAAAGGAACTTACTTCTCTCTTTGCTTCTTTTACAGAATGTTCAATTACAAAATGTACAATGACAAAACAATAAAGTGATGACAAGTTGAATATGAAAATCAGCTCCTGAGGTGTTTGTCTTGTTGCATTCCAAACTGCCAAGTCAAGTCTAGTGAAAGATGCTACAGGGTTGCACTGTGATCCTTCTTTTGGTAATGTCTCCAGCCTCCCAACTGTATGGATGAGCAGTACTCATGGAGCAGTTACTGAACCGGGGTCACTCTGGCCACCATCTACAATGACACTCAAAGAGACACTTACCCACTAGAATGAGGTTGAAAATGAACCTGAAAAAACAATTCCAAAGGGACCAAAACAGCTGCAAAGAGACTCAGATCGACTGACATGGGTCACGATAACCACAAAGAAAATGACTGCTGACACACAACCAGGGGCGCCGTTTGCCGACAGGCCAGGCAGGCAACTGAAGGGGGCCCCGGACCAGAAGGGGGCCTGCTTAGTGGTGCTTGTGCTGGATGTGTTGCGGGGCATGTCTCTTCTGCCTGGGGCCCCCAGAGTGTCTTGCAGCGCCACTGCACACACTACAAAGTGACCAATACATCTGCAAAGAGACTGAGACGACAACCACAGAGACACAACATATCTTCAAATAAAGAAACTACCAAGAGATACAAAATGACTCATATCAATGTGCAAGAGATATGCGTAGCAACTACAAAGAGACAAAGGAAACAAAAAAGCATAAAGAACCCTTAAAGTGTATTTTGTTGTAGGAGTTAGGGTGGGGCATTATGCACATCTGTACCCAAGACTAACTGTTTCATCCAACACACTCTCACTCCCTAAGCGTCCAGGAGCGACGTTTGGTCAGGGTCCGTGGCGTCCAGTTGTGACGCTCCTAGGCTCCTTCAGCGTCATAAAGGGACGCAAATAGCTTTCAACTGATTGCAATGTATTCCCATCTGCGGCGGGATTTGACGCTCATGGAAGCACGGCATTCGTTTGTGTCGGCTGCCCTTAAAGGCAATGTGAGCGTCCATTCCCATTGGATAACGGAGAATTGTACACCCGGAAGTAAGTATTCCCCTTACTGTCGATTGATTTTACAGTGATATCTGCACTACTCATCGACTAAAAAACACCAGATTATCCTTGTTAATTACACAACATTGATTGGTTTAAATTGTGTGCAATGCTTTTGTATTTTTCCCCTTCGATTCGGAGAAACAAATATTTTTTCGGAGTAAAGGATGGCAGAAGACACTACACTACCCAGAATCCCCAGCTATCGTTTGGACTACACCATGTGCTCTGTTTGACAAACCCCGTGATAGTCCTCAAGCTCTGTGATTGGTGAGTGTGCTCCGAGGGTTACGCCGATTCTCGAACAGCACTTGAAATGCGATGGAACCACGGCAGACTGTCCAAAACTGGATTTGAACGGGTCCACCGCGTCCCCCCCTCCCCCACCCCGTCCCCAGAACTACACATGCTGGCTATTCTGTTTCGCAACATGTTCTCTATCTATGGCACGTCTCTACTGGGAGTTGTAGTTTTAAAAGACGTTTTCGTATTTCCCATAATAAGAAGTTGCCAGTATTAAACTGTGTACATCCCTGGAGGTTTAGGGGATAGGAAACACTCACATTTAAAACATATAATTAATAAATGGGTGAAAATTGCTTGTGCCCATAATGGGCAGCATTAATATATATATACACACATGCCAGCTAAGGTCAGAAGAGCTTTATTTAACAGCTGGTCTTATGTTTGTGACCCCTGTTGTTAATTGATAACATTACATTACATTACATTAATTGATAAGCCTGAAACATGCACTTGTTAAGGTTCAGAGGCACATTTTGCAAATATGGCAGTAGCCATCGATCAGCTTAAGATAAGATATACTTTATTGATCCCAAGTTGGAACATTTGCGTTACATCAGCATGTGTAACAGTTGTAAATATGCAGTGGTGTTTATTTGTAAATCATTTAGTATAATCACACAAATTCTGTGTTTTATATTTAACAATTCTGTGTTCTTTATTGATTGATTGTTCAATACCTGACAAGGTCGGAGATGAAATATCTACATACATCTTATAAGAGTATAATACATTATGTATAATATCAGTTAAAATAAGTGCTTCAACATAGTTAACATTGCTGGAGGTATGCACACATATTGATAGATGTCTTGTAATGCACTATTGAGGAACCTGCGACCCAAGTTTTTCATTCAATGCAGAACTACACCATAGTTGAAATCTTGAAAAGGGATGTGCATAATAGTCATTATATACAGTCTTTAATTAACTATTAGTAGAGAATAAAGAGTAATGAATATACTTTATAGGGATCCTATTAATATCTAATAATACAAATAATGAAATGCAATAACATGCTTTAACCACTAGGTGTCCCTTTATATCAGCTGTGCACCTTTATGGTGTAAATACAGCCTATCTACCAATTGGATCAAATATAAAAGTCAGCCGAATTAGTGTTGATACTGCAAGGAGACGTATTGTGTGAAAAGAAATGTAAGATGTTTAATGGCTGATATATTTATGACCCACGTCACGTTTTCAGTTCTTCCTGTTTGTCTAGAAGTCTTCTGATCAGGGCTCTATAAATACAGAACTACGGCAGATATGTAATATTTCATGCAGCCGAACCGTGTATTACAATGCCGTTATGTGATGACTTTCAAAGAGAAAAGCAAGCACACTCGGAATAAAGTATATATATATATATATATATATTTTTTTAAATGTTTTCGGTCTGTTTCCGGTATTTGTTAATGACGATGTGCTGTGAGATGAAGGCAAGGGCAAGGCAAGGCAAGGCAAGGCAAGGCAAGGCAAGGCAAGGCAAGGCAAGGCAAGGCAAGGCAAGGCAAGGCAAGGCAAGGCAAGGCAAGGCAAGGCAAGGCAAGGCAAGGCAAGGCAAGGCAAGGCAAGGCAAGGAAGGCAAGGCAAGGCAAGGCAAGGCAAGGCAAGGCAAGGCAAGGCAAGGCAAGGCAAGGCAAGGCAAGGCAAGGCAAGGCAAGGCAAGGCAAGGCAAGGCAAGGCAAGGCAAGGCAAGGCAAGGCAAGGCAAGGCAAGGCAAGCAAGGCAAGGCAAGGCAAGGCAAGGCAAGGCAGGCAAGGCAAGGCAAGGCAAGGCCAAGGCAAGGCAAGGCAAGGCAAGGCAAGCAAGGCAAGGCAAGGCAAGGCAAGGCAAGGCAAGGCAAGGCAGGCAAGGCAAGGCAAGGCAAGGCAAGGCAAGGCAAGGCAAGGCAAGCAAGGCAAGGCCAAGGCAAGGCAAGGCAAGGCAAGGCAAGGCAAGGCAAGGCAAGGCAAGCAAGGCAAGGCAAGGCAAGGCAAGGCAAGGCAAGGCAAGGCAAGGCAAGGCAAGGCAAGGCAAGGCAAGGCAAGGCAGGCAAGGCAAGGCAAGGCAAGGCAAGGCAAGGCAAGGCAAGGCAAGGCAAGGCAAGGCAAGGCCAAGGCAAGGCAAGGCAAGGCAAGGCAAGGCAAGGCAGGCAAGGCAAGGCAAGGCAAGGCAAGGCAAGGCAAGGCAAGGCAAGGCAAGGCAAGGCAAGGCAGGCAAGGCAAGGCAAGGCAAGGCAAGGCAAGGCAAGGCAAGGCAAGGCAAGGCAAGGCAAGGCAAGGCAAGGCAAGGCAAGGCAAGGCAAGGCAGGCAAGGCAAGGCAAGGCAAGGCAAGGCAAGGCAAGGCAAGGCAAGGCAAGGCAAGGCAAGGCAAGGCAAGCAAGGCAAGGCAAGGCAAGGCAAGGCAAGGCAAGGCAAGGCAAGGCAAAGGCAAGGCAAGGCAAGGCAAGGCAAGGCAAGGCAAGGCAAGGCAAGGCAAGGCAAGGCAAGGCAAGGCAAGGCAAGGCAAGGCAAGGCAAGGCAAAGGCAAGGCAAGGCAAGGCAAGGAAAAGGCAAGGCAAGGCAAGGCAAGGCAAGCAAGGCAAGGCAAGGCAAGGGCAAGGCAAGGCAAGGCAAGGCGGCAAGGCAAGGCAAGGCAAGGCAAGGCAAGGCAAGGCAAGGCAAGGCAAGGCAAGGCAAGGCAAGGCAAGGCAAGGCAAGGCAAGGCAAGGCAAGGCAGGCAAGGCAAGGCAAGGCAAGGCAAGGCAAGGCAAGGCAAGGCAAGGCAAGGCAAGGCAAGGCAAGGCAAGGCAAGGCAAGGGGCAAGGCAAGGCAAGGCAAGGCAAGGCAAGGCAAGGCAAGGCAAGGCAAGCAAGGCAAGGCAAGGCAAGGCAAGGCAAGGCAAGGCAAGGCAAGGCAAGGCAAGGCAAGGCAAGGCAAGGCAAGGCAAGGCAAGGCAAGGCAAGGCAGGCAAGGCAAGGCCAGGCAAGGCAAGGCAAGGCAAGGCAAGGCAAGCAAGGCAAGGCAAGGCAAGGCAAGGCAAGGCAAGGCAAGGCAAGGCAAGGCAAGCAAGGCAAGGCAAGGCAAGGCAAGGCAAGGCAAGGCAAGGCAAGGCAAGGCAAGGCAATGGCAAGGCAGGCAAGGCAAGGCAAGGCAAGGCAAGGCAAGGCAAGGCAAGGCAAGGCAAGGCAAGGCAAGGCAAGGCAAGGCAAGGCAAG